AGAGAAGAAAGAACACTGTCATTTGATGAGTGGTGGGAAGGTTCGCTGTAATAATCATATAGAGATTGTTGAATCCAGCAAGGGAACACTGCCACATACTGGGACAAACTTAGGAAACTAACTGTAACTGAGCACTTGCTGCTTAATTTAGCTGAAATAGTCTTTAAACGCTTTGCTAATTACTGCCTTATCTGTTCTCCTGGGCAGCTACCAGGCATTGGATTTAACAGAATGTTCAGAGACATACTGGATGCGTCTACATGTTGCCCTATGGCAATGTAGGGATGTACTTCGTCACTCTATGGTGCCCTACAGCGACATAGCAATCACACAGGTCTACATGTGATCGCTAGCTACATTGCTATAGGGGTGTCCTCCCCGCTTACAGTGCGCCGCTATGGCAACACAGTGGGGAAATCCAAGTATGTGCCACCTGTACAGTGCAGTACAGGCACATACAGTACTTTTGCAAGTACTAAAGCACGGCTCAATAACAATGTTACCATATGGTGATGTATAGATGTGCCCACTGACACCAAGAGCCTGATTCATTATGACATTGGCATAAAACTGGAGCAACGCAGTGATGAAGCAGGCAAGTATATTGTGAATAAATATACAATATATTTGTACATTTACAATTTATTTGTATATTTATACAATGTACAATAAATTACAGAAAGCAAAGATTTTGTTGGTTTTGTTTTTTATAAATATTTGTAACTTAATTCTTTTAAAAATGTATTTTAAGCAAATTCCCCCTGATTGTGGAATGCTACTCTTTGAGAGGTGGCATGCATTTTTCATAGCATCCACCCTGTGGGACAAAAGCCCTTTGGTATAAGTACCAACTGCTATTAGAAAGGCTTTGCTCAATCCTTCTGTGAAAAATCACTCACCAGGTATGCATACACCTTATAGAAAGATGGTGCTGCTGAGCTTGCAATGTGTGCATGAATCACTTTAACAATGAACCCAGTATTTAAGGGCAACTACATCAAGGCCTAAGAGCAGTATGCAAAATGGTACAAAAAGTTGCAATCAGGGTAGCAAGACTAAATTGAAACAAGGAAAATTTATTTTAGGCTAGATGTCTGGGAAAAGCGTTCTAAACAGGCATCTCTAAAACTGAATTAGGAAAGTAGTGGAAATACCATCATGTAAGACCCAGCTACCTATTTGCCACATAGTGTGCTCATCAGTATGGTGAGAAAGTAACTTTAGGGTGTAACTTGAGCTAATTCTGTAGTAAAGGGTATCTACACTCACATGAACTCCTCTGAAGCCAAGCTTGAGTGAGAGCTGCCATGCTACAAAGAGTGACCGGATTAGTGGAACAGAATAGCTATGGCCTCACTTCATTACTAAAGCTAGCTTCATCAGCTCTTCAACTTCAAGCTATATATCCAGAGGGTGGCCAACTAATGGGGTTTAAAGTATCACTTAGCTTGAAGTGGAGATTTTTGTGTGTAGACAAGAGTTGGCTGGAGGCAATGCCCAAGTTGTACTTCCAGCTAACACTGCAGCAAAGACAAGTCCTAAAATGAGATCTGACAAACACACTAAACACCTGAGGTAAGGAAAGAGAATGAGTTGGGTCACCCAATTACTTGTTCCAGTTGTATCTAGTAAGAGATTTACTTGTCCTTATTGTACCATGTGGAGAATGGGGGAAGGTTTTGTCATATTTTCTTCATCCTGTATGCCTCAGATTCCTGCATGCTGTGATACACTAGGTGTTTAATAGATTATCATCCACCAAAGGCAGATGGAGAGTTAGGCAGTCAGGAGCAATTGCATGGAACTGTCTGTCTGGCCAGACCTGCAATGGGACATCAGGGACTGAAGAACCCTGATCTGATCACGTAAGGATTGCCTTGGTAAGGCCCAATGGAAGCCTAAGTGACTCAAGATTAGTTTAGAACAACTTGGACCCAACAGCAGGGACAAGGAGATCAGGTGGGGGTAGGCTCTTCTCAAGGGCAGCAGGAGAGAGAGGGACAAAGATATAATGTGGATTCCAAAATTACAGGATTTGTAATTCTCACTGACATGGAACCTGCTTAAGTTTGTTTTGGCCCTTCAGACCTATGGACTCTGCCCTTTGTATTTCAAGCAATGTATCCATTGCTTGATAAACTTGGCTTGATAAGCCTACGCCTATTTAGCAGAGGCTGCTGTTTCACTTCAGTTAATTTTTGGCTGCATTCGTTCCCTTAAAGGGTAACGTCCCCATAAGCAGCTGAAGTAATTTGGACCCTTGGCAGGGCTATGGAGACAAAGAGAAGAGCTGTGTCACTGAGTCAGAAGACAAATGAACTATACCTGGGTTTGGCATCAAGAGTTACTCACGGGAACTGTACTCATGCTGAAGCCCCCAGCAGGGACCTCTGTGAAACCCCACTTCACATTCTCCAGGGAACTATACAGCACATGGGTCCTGCAGCTTAATCAGCATTTTACCTTTGAAAGCAATTCCTGCATTGTTAACCAACACATTCAGCCCTCCATATTTCTCCTTCAGGAAGTTCCGGAGAGCCCTGATACTCTGCAGATCATTGATGTCCAGCT